CAAAAACATTATACCCTGATTTCCCATTTTCAATGGGTTCAGGGTATAAAAAATTTGAATTGAGAAATTATGAGATAAGTCTACAGTAGAATCTATCTACATCTTAAGAAACAGAAAGTACAATAAAATGGAAAGGAAACCCCCTTCACACTTTTGTTATAGATACACCAATATTTGGCGTGCACTCATGGGCAGTCCAATTAAGGTTTATTATAATTAATTACAAACATTTTTTAATTATTACAACTCTATTCTATTTAGTAGGATTAAAATGGCTTCTTTAACACTCGATTTAACAACCCGATTTTCAGCCATACAATTTTTCGGCATGTAGATATGAAAATCCCTCCTAGTGCTACATCCTTCTCCGGTCTTTTGTTCAACCTCCCCTCTGGGGTATTAGGGCGATTGGCCTGTCGGAGGGCGCTCCATGTGTGCAACTGACAAATATATTAAGCGAATTATTATGCATAATTCAAATAGTTTTCAACCCCCGCAACGGCCTGTTATACTCGTTCACGTTCAGTGAAGTGAGTGTATTTGTTTTATAGCTGTCTCTCGGTATAGGAATGCGTAATAATATAATATTGGTCGCCACTTGGATCAATAGCAACACGAATGACCCGCTATACAGTCCCTATAGGGAATAGCACACAGACAAAGAAGTTTGCATCATTTATTTGGTTTTATTTTCAATCGTGTGCCGAGTATTATGTCGTCAGTTAAGCTCGAATCGTTGTATGAAAATAAGCGCTATATTTTCACTAGATTCACAAACATTGTCTATTTTTTATGTATATTTAATTTTTTTTTGTATGCTTTTTGCCATAATTTAAAAAGCTTAAAATTTAGTGCATTTTGACAGCCGGCAACAAAGCTCTGGCTGGCCATATAGGAATGGCTTTCAATTTTTCAATAATTTATTGGTAATTTATGAGCAATGCCAATAGAGATTCGGGAAACTATTTTTTAAATGTTTCCTGTGCAGACTTGAATTAAATAGCCGTTGGTCAAGTATTTAGGAAATTTTCTGAACTGAAAATTCGGTTTTTAATTTAGTTATTTTATAAGAGTTGATATTCTCATGTTGAATAATCGTTTGGAGGCAATAAGCACTCTGCCTCATACTGTCAGCAACTGCCATTGGATTACCATAAATATACTCTCTAAAAAAATAAAATCCTTGAACCTGTCCCTATTTTTCACTAGCTGCCAAATAGATATACGTAGGTATTTCTGTTCAGACGCCCGTTGATCTCTATTGCAATTTGTGGGCAGTGCAGGGCCTTTGTGCACTCAGCGGCAAAATAGAAATGCCGTTGATGTTGCTCCTGCTCCTGCCAGTGCAATGATTATAGATTATAACAGGCTCGCACGGGTAGTTGGATGTGGCATAACACAGAAATATATCTACATATTTACATAAACTCATATAAATATAAAAAAAAAAATATATATATATATATATATGTGGATATGGATATGTAAGGACATATATCATTGATGGATGCAAGCGCGCTTAGTTGAGTGGAAAAAAGGCTGTCGACTGCGGGCTGAACAAGAAGTGGGCACGCAGCTTAAAGCGGCTCCAGAATGAAATCCTTGAAGCTTTTGATTTATTTGCTTGGAGGAAATCATTAATTTGTTTGCCAGCAACAAAAAAGAAGAATGAGCAAGAGAGTAAGGAAAAGACAGTATAGATGAGAGAAAAGAGAAAAGCTTAGCATACAGTTTCCGCCGCTGTCAGATTTAGGGGACACAAACAACCACCGAAAATGGAGCCAGCAGCTAAATTTGAATAAAACGAAAGCAACAAAGTAATCTGACACATGCGCTGCCAAATGATTGCCTTAAAGATACTTTGGCACGCCCCTTGCGCCCCCACGCCTCACACTAGCCGGCTACCCCCAAGCCGCTGGCTGCAAGACAGCTTCTATGCTGATGCCTGGGAAGCCCAGCCAGCGGAACACTAATCCCATGTGCAGTATCTTCCATGTACAAAACACAAAACTGAGTCACTTTACTTTATAACAGCGAGCGGCAAAGCTGACACTTATTAAGGACGAGGAAATGTCTAAAACGCAAAATTTCAAATGAAAATTGGATGAGTTTAATGCGTATTACTGCGTGATATTTGGAGCCTCGAAGGATACAAAAAAAAAACACACATCTCTATTTATTTTTATGAGAATGCCTAGGGTACTTGGGGGGCTTCCCTAGAACTATTTTTACATTCATTAGATTACTTCGCTCGCCAGCTTGATGGCTGGTCCTGATCTCTTGGCTATACTCGTTCGGCTTGCTGTGATCGATGATGACAGTATTCGCCGGTTCCGAATCCGTGGTCGATTCCTCTTCGAGGCGGACTCTCACTTTCTTGATCACTTTCGTCACCCTGCGCTCCTCGCAATCGGAGAGTGAGGAGTCAGTTAGCCAGTCGCTGCTGTTATATTCAGGAATGCAATCAGATCTATCGTCTTCAGACGTTTGTTGGGGCTGCTCTAGAGGTTGCTCAGGCAGCTTTTCCTGAATAGATGTTGCAAATATTTGGTGTGCATATTTCTTAAGAAAACGGCATTCGGCTTACCTGCCCGTGGAGTCGTCTATATATCCTGTAGCTCAGAAGGAGCAGAACGAAGATCGATAAGCATGCTGCACCCACTTTGAAGGCGATACTTTCAGGCTCTGGCATAACCACATCAAAGGTTACAATCGGCAAGTTTTTTCCATAGGGCGGATAAAAAAACCGTAAAAACTTGAATGTGAAATTTCCGACTTTGGTCTTCGGATACGGTTTATCAGACTCGATGAAGCGCAAGGTTTGGACAAACATTCTAGGGCAGTTAAAGTCACATTACATTCTCCGCTCGGATACAGTTCTTACCTTGTAATCTTATAGATGCTTGAGCGAAGTAGTTTTAAGTTGCCACAATAGTATAATATAAAATAATGTAAAGACATTAATGCCTTTGTAGTGTGATAGTGTTCTGTGGTGTCATGTGTAAAAGTGTTGTTCGACTGTGTGATCCCAAAGCAGTCTCAGTTCCCAAAGTGAATTGACTGATAATTCCTTGCCTACTTGGGTAAACCCTCAAATATGTTCCCTGATTTGTGGAGGGTTGCGAAACGGCATTCAGCAAAACCCAAAATCAAAAAAATCTAACGCAAACGCAAACCATCATCAGTCACCAAACGAAAGCGACGTCTGCTTTCGGGCCGCGGAATCCTATAAAAGAGAGTGCTGCCGGCATAGGGACGTCCTGGTGAACTTAGCTTGTGCGGCGCAGCCGCTGCCAACTAACTTGGCCCAGTGCGCGTGCTCTGCGACAGCAACACGTACGAGAAATCATGAAATGTTGCCACCATCATACCGAAAATTGTACGGCAACGTGCAAGCAATCAAAGTATATGGAGGCGCAGCCTCGTCTAGCTCTGTGCCTGGCTCCCAGAGAGTTGTACACGTCTGAATTTTACTACACACGTGTGGGATGTGACGTCAACAGGATGCTGGCTGCAGCCTGCAGGCTGCCGGCTGTCTACTGCCTACAGCCTGCTGCTAGCTGCGAAACTAACCCAAAGGTCTGACAGCTACTAGCTGCACCCTCTCTCTCGTCCTTCGTCCGTCTATCGCCCGCTAGTGCCGAAACATTGAGCAATTCTCCGGCAGACGTGCCACCAAAATGTATGGCATAACTGACGGCCCAGACGTGCCAGACGGAGAGGTGGCTTCTGCCTTTTGCTGTTTAAGTAAGCATGCAAATGTGACATGCAGTTGACTCCTGAAATAGAACAGGCGGTCCTACAGCCGGTCGTACAGACGGACGCACAGGCGGGTAGCGGGAAATCAGATAAGCAGTCTCAGTTATCAGAGGGCGAGCATCTGTGTGCGTATTCATAAAAGATGAGACAGCGTGGTTAGTCGAACTGGCCTGAATTCAGTGATTTCCCCAAGCATCTGGCGCACTTTTACATAATTCCGTTATGGGCTCAAGAGTCTTGGCTGATGGCTATTGATTTTGCGGCTCGGCCAAGGTGAATAGTTTGCATTACCCCGGAATTATTGCATACTTCTTTGCCGGCTCAGTCTCGTGTGTATCCAAGGCATTGGAGTGCAACGTGAGTCGCTGTTAATCAGAAATTCATATGGTACATCGAGAGGCGCCAGTCACTGATTACTGATTTCATGGCCGGCAACAGGAGCCTTCTGGGGCGTCTACTGAAAATCTAGCCGAGTCCCAGAACGTAATTTACAATTACTGCACGCACAGACAATTTATTTTCGAGCTCGAACGTTTTGGCCTGCAATAACACGCGTCTCGCGGCAGGACGCGTACTGCTGCCTCCCAGGTGTATTGCAAATCAAAAAATCAGGCAACCCGAGGCAGGGCTCGGCAAGGCGCACGCACGCCCAGGCAATCAGTTAAATGTTTGTGGAACTCCAACTCGCCAATGCCAGCCAAAGCACTCGAGTCTCAAGTCTCTAGTCCTGCGTCTGGCGTCTCTAAGGGCAAAAAGCCAAGTTCTCTGTGCGTTTTCAGTTCTTCTTTGTTTTTGTGCCACTGGATGGCTCTCTGACACGCCTTCGCCAAAAATTGAGTAGAATTGAGTTTGCTCGCGCCAACCACGAAATAAAGGAACTGAAAAGCAACAAAATCAAATGGTGCCACTGTGGCCAAGCAGGGAGCTACGGTCGATGAAGCGCCAAGTTGAAAAATCGTTTGTCGCAATGTGAGAAATGGAAGCGCCAGAGCCAAAGGCAACCCAAAACCGAAAGCCGAACTCGGAACGCCGAAAGAGGAACTACTGCTGGGGAAGGGCGTTCACCCAGCCCAGCCGCAGACGAAGTGATTTGCTTTTAAAGAAACGAAAAAATGAAAGAAAGCTAGGGAAAAAACCCCGCCATGTAATGAAACTGACAATTTAACTCGCACTGTGTGCTCGTGCTGAAAAATCGTGTTATCGATTTAATGCCGTTGCACTATACATATAAGTAAGTCGACACACATACACATGCGGACGTATACTGAAAACAAAATATATATATTTACTAGTAGGGGTATCCATTTTACACACAGACTGCGTATCAGGAGCAAATGCGTATTGCCGAAAGGGTTGGCTCCGTATCCTGCTTCAATATCCCTTTGCCTTTCCCTTTGACTTTGGCTTTGGCTTTGGTTTTGCTTTTGCATTTGGCTCTGCCTTGAGCTGTGACGTTGCCTTTACCGCTGGCTTCTGGCTTTCTGACTGACTGACATTTTTGTGTTGTTTACGAGATTTCTCGTTGGCCGTCGTTGATTTTTGTCCGTGTTTCTAATGGCTAGACAGCCCGGCAAAAGCATTTGATTAATTCGTAGCCGTTTTCAATTTGAAATTGCTTTAGTTCCTTACGTTTTTACTCAAGTCCTCTGCGAATATATGTTTGTCTGTGATTCTTTGTATATATGTGAGTGAATGCGTGTGTGAAGAGCACTTTAAAGCCCTTTGAACTAACTTTCTACTTCTCTTCTATTTCTGTCTAACTTTCTCTGGAACTGAAATCTAGTTAGCCCTAGTTGAGTGATTTTTTATTGTAACTGTCACTTATCCTCGAGTCGTTGGTGTTGTCCTTTAAATTCGGTCGCCCTGCAAAAGGCATTTCACCCTCTTTTTTTAAATTTTGGCTAGCTTCCATAACATAAATCAAGCTGACATCAGCTACAATGCTAACTAACTCACTTGTTTATTAACCCATTTGACAACCAAACTGATTTTATACTAATTGAGACAATTTTCTTTTTCTCGTTTTAGGTACGTATAAACATTTCAACAGAACATGTAAGAATGTGACTATCGGGCTTGACCGAGTCTAGAATACCCGTTCTAGGGTAAAACATGATTCCTCCTAAGTATCTTTACTGTCAAATAATTTGGTTCCTTCACAAAGAGAGAGAGAGAGAGAGAGAGAGAGAGAGAGAGAGAGAGAGAGAGAGAGAGAGA